GATCCCGCTCCCATCCCGCTAACCGCGCTAGCTAGTTCTGCTACCACCACCCACTGCTGCCCTGCCCGTCCTGGCTCCGCCTGGCCTCCTGAGGCCAGCACCCCGTCCGTGAGGGCCCCGGAGCATACGCCTCATGAGACGATCGCTCATGAGAGAAGCCGATGCTGGGTCTCCAGTGGTTTTGCTCTAAGCAGTCGCCAGGCTTCCTCTCCCGCGTCCCAGAGGGGAAGTGGCATGAAGTAGCTTCTCCCAGGCGGGGAGAGGGGAGTGCGTGTTGATTTACTGGCCCATAAAAGACGGGAGCTCCAAGGAGCACGTGAGGCGAATGGATGAAGGCGCGATGGGGTGGCGGGCCCCCGTCCCTCCTGAGACGTTCCTCTCCCCGGCGAGCTAACGGCCCAGGAGAGGCAACCCCTGGGGGAGGAGGGAGAAAATGAAAAGTTTTGCGTGTGGCTGTAATTGACTGGCGGGAGGGGCCGGCGTGCGTGGGGAGGTGGAAGCCTGCAGCAGGAGGGCTTGCACATACCACAGAGCAGCTGCCACATAAAAGGAGCCATTGCTGCCGACTACAGATGCGGCAGTTTGCGTTTATCTCTCCTGTCAGTTGGGGCCCCAGCTCGGCTGCGTTATAGCTCAGTTCAATATTTAATTTTCACATAAACCAGAGGGCTGGCGCTTGCTTTCTTCTCGCCCCGTTCGGTTTGGTTCGGCTTTGGGAATTCTCTCTAGAGGACGCCTCCCATCCGCTGGGGGGGTTAAAACCGCTTTAAAGTCGTGGTGTGTTGCTCAGGGCGGAGGCCTGGGGAGGGGTTTCTTCCCCTGGCCGCAGAGTTTAGCCCCTTGGCTTTCACTGCAGCCTCTTTTTACGTCTCTTCCCTCTCTTCTGCTTTGGTTCCAGGCGCCACCGCGCTGACCTGTTTTCAGGGAGTGCTCTGGCGGAGCTCAGGTTAGCTGGATTGTGCGGGTGTAGTGCTGATGGGGAATGTGGCTCAGCCTTTCCGGGGGCAGGCCCATGCTGTAACAATCACCGCCGTGGCGTTCCGATCTGTTGTTCTCCATTGGACCCTTCTCCGGTTTACAAGCTTCGGCCCCCGATTTCAGTGGGGCCCCCTAGTTCTCGTTGTATGTCGCATCCAGCACATGCTAAGCCTCGTACATCTGCAGAGAAAGACTCGGGTCCGCAGCTGGTGTGAATCCGGGTGTCACCAGGAATGCAATGGCCAGTTACGTCAGCAGAGGCCCTGGCCTACTGTCTCGCTCTGGCTGGCGAAGGGGGGGGGATGGGCCCGGAGCAGAATCACGCTGCGGAGGCAAAGAGAAAGAGGGCGGAGAGAGAGGCTCAGAGCAGAATCAGGCCCTGCCCATCAGCAAACAATAGCCCGTCCCCCCCATTGTGCTGGCATTTTGTTGCTGATCACAAGGCCTGTGTCTCCACTTGCCCCCCGGTAAGGGGCGGTTAGCAATACTGACTGGCTACGTCTAGACTGCATCCCTTTTTCGTAAAAGGGATGCAAATTAGACGTATCGCAATTGCTAATGAAGCAATTGCTAAATAAGGGATACGGGATCTTTCGGAAAAGGCTTTATTTTCCGAAAGATCCGCGTCTAGACTGGCGCTTTTTTCCGGCAAAGCTCCGTGCCGAAAAAAAAGCGGCAGCCATTTTTATGCTAATGAAGCGGGGGAGATTTAAATCCCCGCTTCATTAGCAATTGCAATGTGTCTCATTTGCATCCCTTTTACGGAAAAGGGATGCAGTCTAGACGTAGCCCGGCAGTGTCTGCGACGGGCGGGGGGCGTTGGCTGAAGGGGGCAGCAGGCCAAGTGAGCACCATTCATGATTAGCTGGTCGTACGGCCGGCCACAACGGCTCTTCTTAGCCTTTCGGTCACGCCCAGTCACATGCTGACGCTTCCCTCCACAACCACCCGAACTAGAAGCGGACCCTTTTCTGGGGCAAGCTGAGATTCTCGTGGGATCTCCTGGCTCCAGGACCAGCCATGGGGCCAGCCAGGGCCAGGTTGCCTGCGAGGGTATTAGTACTGTTGTCGCACATATGGGTTTTTAAAGGAAAGCAGCACGCCAGAGCAGGGAGGGGGCCGTGTGGCTGGGGCTCTAGTCCCAGCTGTGCCAGAGCCTCATGGGCAGTCACTGAATCTCTCCACGCCTCGATTCTCCATCTATGCACTGAGGACAATTGCGCTCTCGCCCACCCTTTGTCACATAGAATCATAGAACGCTAGATCTGGAAGGGACCTCGAGAAGCCATCGAGTCCAGTCCCCTGCCCTCCCGGCAGGACCCAGTACTATCTAGACCATCCCTGATAGATGCCTATCTAACCTGCTCTTAAATATCTCCAGTGATGGAGATTCCACAACCGCCCTAGGCAACTTATTCCAGTGTTTCACCACCCTGACGGTTAGGAAGTTTTTCACCCCAGCATCGTGGGGCCCTGATCTTGGGTGGGCACCAAGACCTTACCCCAAAGGAGGTAGCAATTCATAACGAACGCAGAGTTAGCGAGGTTTGTCGAACCCATCCCTCTCTGAAGCTAGCCTATGGGATCCTTGTGGGCTGGGCCTCTCTCAGGAAAGGGAGGCGCTCCAAAGACCAGAGGCTCAGCTAATGGCTTGGGGCAAAAAAAGCAAGGACAGGAGTGAGGTCAAAGGTTGAGAAACCAAGGGCTTGGGAGCAGAAACCCCCAGACAAAGCCTCCTGCTCCAAAGAGAGTCATGGGAATCCCAAAAGATTTTTGGTGGAACGTGTGCTCAGAAAACACCCCAGGGGGATGGAGAGGCTGCCGGCCCACTTTGTCTCAAGTGGCTAGTGCCCGGAGGAAGGCCATCTCCTGGGAACTGGAAAGTCAGTGGTGGGAGCCAGGCCAGAGTCTCTTGGGCTGTGTCTACACTGGCAAGTTATTTCGGAAAATCAGCTGCTTTTCCAGAATAACTTGCCAGCTGTCTACACTGGCCGCTTGAATTTCCAGAAAAGCACTGACGATCTAATGTAAAATCATCAGTGCTTTTCCGGAAAAACTATGCTGCTCCCGTTCGGGCAAAAGTCTTTTTCCGGAAAACTGTTACGGAAAAGGGCCAGTGTAGACAGCACAGTACTGTTTTCCGCAAAAAAGCCCCGATTGCGAAAATGACGATCGGGGCTTTTTTGCGGAAAAGTGCGTCTAGATTGGCCACGGATGCTTTTCTGGAAAAAGTGCTTTTCCGGAAAAGCGTCCTGCCAATCTAGACGCGCTTTTCCAGAAATACTTTTAACAGAAAACCTTTTCCGTTAAAAGCATTTCCGGAAAATCATGCCAGTGTAGACGTAGCCTTGGGGTATGTCTACACTAGCCCCCTAGTTCGAACTAGGGAGGCTAATGTAGGCATTCGACCTTGCAAATGAAGTCCAGGATTTAAATATCCCTGGCTTTATTTGCATCTTCCTGTCCGGGTGCAATTTTTAAATCCCCCGAGTCTGAACTAACTACCCACAGCTACACTAGCACCCTAGTTTGAATGCCTACATTAGCCTCCCTAGTTCGAACTAGGGGGCTAGTGTAGACATACCCTTGGCTAGAACAGCCCAGGGCTCAGGATGGGCTGAGGAGCCAGGGGAGATGCCTGAAGAGCCATTCGCTATGATGCTGGGCCTCATGCATCTGAGTAACTACGGCAGTGGCGGGGTGGTCAGGGCATGGCGGTGTCCCAGTCTGGCCAACTGGTAACACTCAGTCGGCAATGAATTTGCTCAATTGCACACGCTGCTAACGCCTACCTGCTCTGCAACAAAACTGAGAGCCGGGTGTGCAGAACAAGGGGGAGGGTTGAGAAGGTGGGGAAAAGGGGCGTATAAGGATGGCTCTCTATGGTAGAAAGCATGTGTGTCTAGGGAGGTCACGCCGTGCATTCTGTACACGTGTGCAGTGGGGGGCAGGGCTGGCCGTACCATGGGGCGAACTGAGGCGGCTGCCTCAGGTGCCAGGCTGTGGGGGTGCCACTAGGACCCAGAGTGTAGAAAATTGTCTGCTGCTGGTGCATAAGTAGGTAGCAGAGCAGTACCAAGAGAGTCGAACAGGAAGAAGGCAGAATTGAGCCCTTTCAAAGTTTTGGCCCATTTGAGCTCCCTGCCTCAGGTACCAAAACGTTGTGGGCCGACCCTGGTGTGGGGTGTGAGGGGCAGGGTGTGGAGATCTGGCATGGGAATAGATTGGATCTCGGTCATTTATCGGGACATGGGGGGATTCCCATGTTGGCATGTGGTACTGTGTATGTGTGGATACAAGTGTATGGCTGCATGTACACAGACTTGGTTGGGTTGCCTATGTGGAACACAAAACACAGGACTGTGTAGCACTTTAAAGACTAACAAGATGGTTTAATAGGTGATGAGCTTTCGTGGGCCAGACCCACTTCCTCAGATCAAATTCCTCCATCCCCCTTCAGTTCTGAAATGTGATTTGTCCTTGTCATGTGTGTTCATTTTTTTTATTTGTATCCTTTGGTATATATGGTTGTGACTATTTTCTTCCACTATTGATCTGAGGAAGTGGGTCTGGCCCACAAAAGCTCATCACCTAATAAACCATCTTGTTAGTCTTTAAAGTGCTACACAGTCCTGTTTTTTGTTTCAGCTGCACCAGACTAACACGGCTACATTTCTACCACTATGTGGAACACAGCCTTGTTGGGCATACATGTGTGCGCAGCGCGTACATGCATGTGATTATGGTTGCATGGGGGGAAGTGGGTCTGTGCCTGTGTTTGTGGGACGTGTGTGTCAGAGGAAGTGTGTGTGTGTGCAGTTGTGTGGTACACATGGCGGGAGTGGGGGGCAGCGGCTGTGGGAGGGAGCACTGAATCTCCACATGATCTTGTATGTGGAGCCCTGTCCTGGCCCATTTCTCCCGTCCAGCTGCACGGTCCTGTCCCAATCCCAGCTGGTGAGCCTTGCAGTCTCTGTTCGGCACGGCCCATTCATAATCAGCCCGGCCTTTCTCCCCCGCAGCTCCTCCCATCTCCATCTCCGTCATTGCTGCGGACACGCCTGCTCCCTTCAGCCGCTACCAAGCTCAGAACTTCACCTTGGTCTGCATCGTCTCAGGAGGGAAGCCCGCCCCGACGGTGAGTACAGACCGCGGCGCTCTGGTTCCTGCCCTGCGTCCCTGGCTCAGCCTGCCTGCCGAGCCGCCCGACTCGCCAGGCCTGCCAGATCTGCTCATGCCACGCAGGCGACTGTGCATGCACTGCAGGGAGGGTACTGCCAGGATGGTGCAGTGGCATCTGCAGAGCCTGCAGCTGGCACGATATCAAATCAGGAGCAGCAACGTTATCTACAAGCCATGGGGACGCTGCCATGTACCATGCGCCTGCGTCACTGCAATCAAAGCTGGCTGGAGAATGGGCCGGGGAGTGAGCAGTCGAGGTCGGGTGTGAGGTTCATCGGCAGAGCTGGCGGGTGGACTCCTAGTCACTTCCCTGATGAAAGCCAACTCTTGCTCACTCACAGGCTGTGTCTAGACTGGCCAGTTTTTCCGCAAAATCATCTGATTTTGCGGAAAAACTTGCCAGCTGTCTACACTGGCCGCTTGAATTTCTGGAA